AATAACCTTATGGTTTGTGCCAGTGAGGCATAAGTGCCAACGCGGATGTTGCCGTCTTTGATGATGACGATGGCTTTAATTTAGAGCGGAATTTGCTCTACCGAGCTCTAAAATCACCACCTTGAATAAACACACCAAAGTGGAAAGTTTCGTTCCGTAGGTTTGAGCCACTGATCCGTTTGCAAAATAAGCCGTGAACCCAGATGAAAGAAATAATGCGCCACATAATGCGTCTGAACTCGATGAGATTTTATGTCGTTCGTGGAAAACATAGCTTGAGTAGTTGAATAAACCCGCACGATCTACGCACACCTGGCAATCATCAGGTACCTTTATCTTTGTGCATGACCCAAATCTTCACGATGACTTGACTCGATGATGGAGCACATTACACAGGAAATGGATGACTCACACAGCCACTAGTTTGACGAGTAGAATGCCGACATCTCTAGCTTTTGAAAGTAGCTCAACGTCTTAATATAACAGGAAACATATGCACATCCTGAGCATTTCGCACGATCGCCGATGGTGAGGTGTACAAGGCACAACTTAAAGGTAGATGAGAGAGCCAACGCTTAGGATTGAAAATACGGGCTAAGTTTTTGGAATGTAGATAAATCCGTAAAAATATCTGCCAAAATTTACAAAATTGGTTGTAGACTACATTTGACATAGAAAAAGTTGGAACATTTTTAACATGCCTGAGGTGAAAACGGTAAACGAGCATATTTTATTCGTACGCTGCATGATGTGCTACTTAGTTTGGTTATGCTCTAATTTACTGTACTGCGTCTCCGCAGGGCACTCACTTTGGTTTCATGTATAATCATTGAAGCAGCAACAGTAACTCACGAGGAATTGGTTGTGTTTAAAATGCTGATAATATATTTTTGGAACAGATTCTTCATGGTTGTGATGAATCAGCTGGAATTCCAAAGTTATTCGTTTTGTGAATGAAAAATTATCAACTTTCACAAATGAAGTTAGGGTTGGGTATATATTACGGCTAGTAGGGGGATCACGCCTAGGTAAGGGGATCAC